TGCATCTAGAAAATTTATGACTATCTATTAACCTTTATTCCTTAATTATACATTACATTTTAAGTGAGTTGCACAAACACAATACTTTATTCAAGAGCAGAAATATACATATAAAAAATTGACCTTAAATTTGTCTCAATAAACTAAGATCCATACCAATGCAAAGTATTCGTCTCTATAGCATTTCCCCCTTAAATGTAAACAAACATTTATAAACAATCATTTAGGGAATTTGGGTGTTTTGCACTACACAACTTCCTGATGATTGGGGGTTACTCAGGTCTTTCTTGGGGTATCCCGTGTGGTAGGTCCATCTCAGTCAGCAGTCTTGAAGTTGACACAGATATTGGACCATCTGGGCCTTTGCTTCAGGGAGTCTTGTTTAAACCATATTAGCCACTAAGGAATCCACAGCTTTTCATCCTCTGTGGAAACACAAGCAGAACCTCTTTTCCAAAGCAACATACCCTTAGACCCAAATTTTGAAATCAAGATACCTTTAAAACATATATGTCAGTTTAGCTTGGCATCCTGTACAATGAACTCTCTCTTTGTATTTATCTCATTCACAGTCAAAATTTTTTTTAAAAAAACACAATAATATACATTATCCAGATTTTCTGTGTATTTTTCATCTTTACATGGCTTATTTTTCTTTACTCCTTTAATCTATGATTGTCTGTACTCTGCCTCTTTAAAGACTTTGTTATATTTTTAAAATGATTTATTTCTTTTTACAATTGTCTATACTATTTTTCTTCTTTCTCTCAAGCCTATGTACATTTTTTAAAACACACTGTGACCAATTTAGAGGTTTTTTTCATCTGAATATGTCTTTATTACATTTCTGTAATAATTTTACGACAAGGAGTGCCTTTTTTTTTAATGCTAAGCAGGCAGGGCTAGGACTAAGGCTTCTTAGCCTTTTGGCTCTGCCTAGACCAACATGGCGGAGGTCTGTTTATTGACAGCTCTACAAGCTCTCCGCCCCAGCTCCAGGGACACAACGGGTCCACTTTGCCATCAATCAACCTGTAGCACTCTACTCACAAACCCCATTCAAATGCTTGGTAACCAAACCTCCTGAAAGAGCCAGAACTTTTCGTGCCAGCACAAACAGGAAGCCCTCCCTCAAAGAAACCATACAGCCTTTGCTGTCAATGCTGAGTCAGAAAGACCTCCCTTAAAGGAGCCACAGTGCCTCTGCTCCCTCCCAGCAAACAGAACCTATCCGGGATGCATCTCTTTGACGTCAGCTTCTCTCTCTCTCTCTTTCTCTCTCTCTCTCTCTCTCTCTCTCTCTGTATATGTATATATATATATGTGTGTGTGTGTGTGTGTGTGTGTGTGTGTCTGTGTGTGTGTGTGTGTATATATATATATATATATATATATATATATATATATATATATGTTCAGATTTCCCAGCTGGCTTTACTCTGCTAAGCCATTGGCCAAAACAGCTTCTTTAAGAACCAATGGCAACAAAACATATTCATAGCATACAGAGGGGAATCCCACATCAGGTAATTATAAAATGTATTTTAAATATATTTTTATTATTAAAACAATATGTTTAACAATCTTTGGATACATGAAGAAATTGTCAAGAAGAAAACAAAAATTACCCATATCACCAGAAATAAAAACTGTTAAAAGTTTGACGCATGTTCCCCTCTTCTGATTTAAATGCCTTAAAGGCAAATATTCTAAGATAAACTTGTGTGTGTCATTTCATATTTTGATCTTTTCCTTTCACATATTATGAGTTATTAAAAGATTATTTTTAGAGGTTGCTTGATAATGAACCATACTCATAGAATATTAAGTTATCATTGGAATTCCTACCGTTGAATGTGTAACCTTTCCCTAGTTAGACATGTCTATAATGAAAGTATTTCTGGATAATATTTTGTGCCCCGTTATTATGACTTATTTGTGTGTATTCTGAAAAATGGAATTCCTAGGTCAAGGATCTCCTCAACTGAATTACATCCCAGCTCGAAGCTCCTAACTCCCTGCCCCCCTCCCCCAGAAGTCCTTCTTTTCCACCCTTTCTTCTCCTCACCTCTGCTGTCCTCCTCTCCCCTCCTGTGCTGGCTGGTTTTATATCACCTTGACACAAACTAAAGTCATCTGAGAGTAGGGAACCTTAATTGAGAAAATGCCTACGTAAGATCAGGCTGTGGGCAAGCCTGTAGAGCATTTTCTTAATTAGTGATTGATGAGGGAGAGCCCAGCTCATTGTGGGTGGAGCCACTCCTGGGATGGCGGTCCTGGGTTTTGTATGAAAGCAGACTGAGCAAACCAAGATGAGAAAGTCAGTAAGCAGCACCCCTCCACGTCTTCTGAATGAGCTCCTGCTTCCAGGTTCCTGCCCTGACTTCCTGTGATGATGTACTGTGATGTGGAGGCATAAGCCAAATAAACCCTTTCCTACCCAACTTGCTTTAGGTCATGGTGTCTCATCACTTCCCTTTCTCTTTCCTCCGCTCCTCTTGCCTGTCTCACTATATAGTCCTGACTGGCCTGGGACTCACTAAGCTGCTAAACAAGCTGCCTCAGCCCTCTTGCTCAGCTTCCTGAGAGCCGGCATTACAGGTATGAGCTACCATGCCCACCTACATAATTTGAATAGATTTTGGGTTAAAAAAAAATTAGTGATTCCCTTACTGTCATCTTGAAAAAGACTGTAACAATGATCTCTTCCTCACCTTTCTTTCAGAAATAAGCACCATCCACCTGACTCTTTGGATTGTTAGTCGCCACATGCTGGGAAACACCATGGAAAACCAATCGGAATATACAGGATACACAGGGACGGATGCTTTTTTGCTACATCATCTCCTCCTGGAGGAAATTGGGTAGAACTTGTTAAGAGCTTCAAATGTTGTGAATACATTTGACAACACCTTCATTCTCCTAGGTTCCTCTGTGAGTCGTGTAGCAGAACAAGGCTGGGTGACTTGAGCAAGATTGGGTTACTTGTTATACAGAGAGCTCAAGGACATAATACTCCACTTGGACTCTTCTAGCTAGAGTTGCCTTCTACGGATAGATCCCATTGGTCAGACCTAATGCTGACAAATGCTCAGATAGAAGCCCCCAAATACTACTGGAGCATCAGGCCTGTGGCTCAGTGGTAGAGCACTAACGGAGTATGCACAAACCCTGGGTTCGATTCCCTGCACTGGGAAAATAAAAAGTTGATGTTGGAGATCAAGATAATCTGCAAAAGGAAAAGAAAAGAAGCCAGAGATAAAGGTTGGAATTGAAGGAGAAGAAAGACATTGGCATGACTTGGGAAAGGCAGAGGACAAAGAGGAGTGATCGAGCCTTCAGTGGCCACTGAGTTTGGATTTCCCACATGCACATTTCAAGCTTCATGAGACACTTCTGCTATCAGCAGTTCCCTTTCACACAGACTTGCTGAAATGGGCGTCTTTTTCTCACGAACAAATCATCATAGAGAAACAACAGGATGGGTAGAGATCAGGGCAAATTTCTTCAGCTTTTATGGCTGGGAACATGTGAAAGCCTCTCCTGACAGTCTTCAAAACCAGTTATGTTTATGATTCTAATTATTCTTGGGGGTGGGGCATTGCACAGCTCAGTGCACACTGCAGGGTCGGAAGCCAGAGGATTACTTTGTGAAGTTGGCTCTCTCCTTTTGCCTTTTCCTGGGTTCTGGTCATTGAGGTCCAGTCACCAGGCTTGCCAAGCAAGAATGTCTTTACCCATGAATCATCTCACCAGCCCTCAGTCCTTTACTTTTTTTTTCTTAATAGGAGGAAATTAAAACAAAACCATGTGACCACTGACTGTACCTCATTCGTAAATGCTGTGGAGTTTTTTTTCCCCCTCCTATAGATAGATCCTACTGGTCAGACCACATGCTGACTTACACATTTATTCCCAACCAATGAGTCAGCTGAGATTTTTAAAACACCCAAAACAACAAAACCAAGTATCTCCCAATTGTTTTGTAAGCCTCTAAAAAAGGAGCTGCTTGCTCTTCTTGGCTTACACTAACAAAAATAGCCAAGAAAGCCTGGCTTCTCTATATTTCAAACAGCAATTTTAACTCTTTCCGCTCGTCTGGTGGGGACAGAGTTATGAAAAACTATACACCGATGTGGCACCCTTTCAAATTAGATGTGTATGCAAAATAGGTGTGCTCCATGATCTAAGGAGCCATGGTGAGAGCAAAGCTCCTCTGTCTCCTGAGGGGGTCTCCATGTGTGCAGGAGCATGTACCTGGGATGGGACAGACAGAGACATCTCTGAGGGATGTCAGTCCCTGTGCCTTGCCACCAAGATCTTGCCTTGTGGAGCTGCGGTAAGACTGGGGAAACATAATGTAAACTGAGAGGTCCCTGTTGTTTTTGTTTGTTTGTTTGTTTGGTTGTTTTTCCTTTTGCAGTACCTCCCTCTTAACAATGGTTTCAATGTGTATAGTTTTAGTTGACCACTGTTTCTTAGAATATTCCAGAAATAAGTGTTTGTGATTTTTCTTTTAGAGGAAGGGGTCTCATGCGGCCCAAGGTGACCCCAAAATTGCTGCAAATGTGAGGATGACGTTGAACTTACGGCCCTCCTGCCTTTACGTCCTGAGTGCCGGGATCACAGGGACATACCACTCTGCCCAGTTTTGGGTGATGCTGAGGATCAAACCCAGTGCTTTGAACATGCTAGGTTAGCACTCTGCCAACTGAGCCCCAGCCCCAGACAATTCTTGAGCTTTAAATAGCAAAGCCTGCACAGTTGGGAAATCTTGTTCCTTCCTGTCCAGAACATGACATGTCATTTTTGTCCCACGTATCCACACTGTACATATTACTCACCTGCCATTCACTCAGTAATTGTCTTGCTGAGCAAACTGAGTGCAATGATACATAGGGTTTGGCACTATCCAGTTTCAGAATTCCTGGAGGTCTTGGCATGTATCCTCTGCAGATGGGGTAGGTAACTACATTTTTGAATGATGTCATAGACAATGATAGGATGGTATGATTTATTGGAGAAAAACCTTCAGACACAATCAAGGGTGTAAGGGGAAGCCTTTGCTTTGACCTCTTCACCTTCTCCCAGGATTGACAAGGTGTGGTGTCTTCATTCTCACTGCCTGGGAAAAGACTCAGAAATGGAGATTTGTGTTGCTGGAGATTCACTGGGGAATGTTCTTGAACAACATCAAGTAAAGGAGCCAGTGAAGCACAGCTGAGAATAGGAGACACTAAGCCGAGATCCTGTTGCTAGCGAGGTCCCAGCTGTTCGTGCAGGGCTCTGAGGCTTCAGCTATCGTGGACTAATTCAGAGGGAGTAGGTGCTTACCTGTCCACATCGCTGGCTAGTCATTGGATGATGGCTAGTCTTGAAGAGATGAGGAAAACCTGGGCAAGGCAATTTCCTTTCAATAGGGGTCTTTCCTCAAGGAAGTCCAGCTGTGGGCCTTTGACAGCCAGCATATCTGATAATCATAGAATTAATGAATGCCTTTGGCCTCAAGGAGAACCAGGCCTGGGCAGCAAAGTATTTTCGACACCCATCCCTTGCATCTCTTGTATCTAACATGCTGTGTTCATTCAGCTGAGAAGGGCATTCCGGATTTCTGCTTGGGCTCAATTCTTTGATGAATTCACAAAGGGCAGGTAACCCGAAAAACTACTGCTTCTCCCCAGCAGCTGGCCAGGAGGCATCAACAATGTCTTTCTTACCGTCATTTGTAAGTTCCTGCCTCCATTGCTAAATCCTGTCCTGGTATAGGCAACTTATCTGGAAGACTGGCCAGACCCAAGTCTGGAGGGGTCTGAGCCCCTCACTCCAAGATTCTCTTCAGGCTGCGGCATCTGTGTTTGCTCAATTACCACTGGAATAACGGGGCAGGGGAAGTGCAAAGAAACACACTGGTGTGACAGCTGGGTTCTAAAATTATCTGCTCATCTTTCATTGTAGTGTTTGGGTGATTTGGGTCAGTTTATCCATGGTAGTAAACTTACCATCCAAGACAATGGCTTTTTCTTTGTCTGCTGGTCTCAGGGCATGGGGCTCTTAAGATAATGGAGTGGCAGTGATTTAAATTTTAATGAGTGTCTCTCTGTGATGCTCAGTGGAAGCTGTATTGTTCTGGAGACTATGACCTCCAAACCACAAAACCTAAAGTTTCAGGGATGGGATTTTCCAATTTATCAAGCAGGAATTTTAGCATGATGTCTGTTTCTGCTCCCACTTCCTGTTTCCTGGAGCTCTGTTATCACAGACTACCTTGGAGCACAACACAATAGGCTTCTGAGGTATATAATAGTTGGAGAACGGTGTTCCATTCTTGCAGGTCATCTCTGAGCTAACATCTTGGCTGCCCCTTTAAATAGCTGTTTGCACACTTCCTCAGGCTGGAAAGTTCTAGATGATCTATAGGATCAGGAAGTCCCATGGTCTTGCACCTACTGTTGCAACTCTTTAGTATCTACAACATAAATTTATGTTAAATTGTGCTATATAAAATTCCTGTTATTTAATGTTTTGAACCTATATGATAGTGCTATAGATTAATTTAATAAAGCCTTTTCTTTAGTTGTGTATTGTGGTGCACACCTTTAATCCCAGTATTTGGGAGACAGAGGCAGGTGAATCTTTGATTTCTTGGCATGCCTGGCTATAGCACAAGCTCCAGGACAGTCATGTCCATGACAGTCACGTCTCCACAGAGGAACCCTGTCTTGGAACCTCCCTCCAAATAAACAGATAAATAAATAAATAAATAAATAAATAATTTTCTTCTAGTAAAATTTCCATTTAGTTGTAGCACTCCCATTTGTCCAGTTGCCTAGACCAAATCACAGAGTCATTTTTTTTTCTCTTCTTTTTCCCCATATCCAATGTATCAACAAATTCCATCCAATCTATCTTCAGAAATGTGTGGAGACATTTGTCATACTGTGTCACCTCCATCTGACCACTCTATGCCATCTTTTCACCTGGGCTTTTATTCTATTCTCCTATCTTTTTTCTTCTGCTTCTCTGATCTACTTTCTGTCCATTAACAAAAGATCTTATAAGACGTGAGTCTGGTCATGTTTCTCCCTGTGCAAAATCTCTCAATCTCTTCTACCATGGTCAATTTTAAGTGTCAACTTGTTGCAATCTAGAATTACCTTGGAAGAGAGTCTTAACTGGGGAGTATTTAGACCTAGTTGGCCCATGGGCTTATTTGTGGGAAACTGTCTTGATTATTGATGTAAGAAAGACCCAGCTCATTGTGGGTGGCACCATTTCCTAGGGTAGGGGCCCTGAAATATAAAGCACAGAAAAAAGCTAGACGGGATCCATTCTTTCCTCTCTGCTCTTGACTGTGGATGTGGTGTGACCAGCTATCATAAACTCCTGCCACTGTGACTGTCACACATGATGGACTGTAACTGGAATTTTAAGCCAAATAACCCCTTTCCTCCTCTTAGTGATGTATGGTCAGGTTGTTTTATCACAGCAATAGAACCAGAATGAGAACGGCCTCCCATGTCACTTTTAATGAACGCCAAGGTCTTCGTATCAACTCTTTCACAAATTGGCTCTCTTACCTCTGTGTCCTTCTAGTTTCCTCTTCTGCCATAATTCTTTTCTCTCCCATCCTAGACTTCTTGGTGTTCACTGGAAACAATGGGACGGATTGGGAATTTAGCTCAATGGGAGAATGCTCACCTAGCAAGTACAAGGCCCTGGCTGGGTCATTAGATCTGAGAAAGGTTGGGCATGCCTTTAATCCCAGCACTTGGTAGGCAGAGGCAGGTGGATATCTTTGAGTTTGAGGCCAGCCTGGTCTACAGAGAGAGTTCCAAGACAGCCAGGGCTGCTACAAAGAAAAATCTTGGCTCAACCCCCCCCCCAAAACAAAACAAACAAAAAACAAAACAAAATGAAGAAGAAGGAAGAGGAGGGGGAGAAGAGGAAATAGACCTGAAAAAGAAAAACGTTAAAAAAAAAGACACCTCTAAGGGTTCTGCTTCAGAGCTCTTGCAAGGTTCAGTTTACCTCAATATCCACGTGGCATCTCTTACCTCATTTAAATGTCGCCTTCCCTCCCGATTCTGAGCACTTCCTGTTCTTTCCAATATCACCACAGTGCTTTGCCACATCCTCCAGTGTTTATCTCTCCCACCTCTATCCAGGATGCGGGCTCAAGAAAAGCAGAGAATTCTTGCCATTTGTATTTGTTCCTGAAGAAACTAAAACAAAAGTGTGGTGGCCAGGAGGACAAAGCGGGTAATTTATCAACGACAGTCATGGTAAACATGACCAACGTGTAGCCAAGGATAGACATGAATGTGGCCCAACACAAAATCAGTTAATCTACTTAAGATGTTATAAAATTTGGTGGTGGGCAGGGGGTGGTGGGTAACTTGATTTTGTAGCTCAATTGAATGTGAACTTTGGGGAAGACAACGTGAGGCTGCAATGTCAAAAGGCTGGACAAGTAAGTCAACCTATTGTCTTTCAGGGGCCTAAGCAATCTTTGTGCTCCCTCCATTCCTGGGAGGATTTGCTGACTGAATGAGTGAATTTGCAATGGCTTTGTCATCAGTGTAGATCTGAGCCATTTCCCTCGGGGTCGGACCCTGGATCTCATCTGTTCCCGTTATGAATAACGCATCCTTAGGCATCCTTAGGAAAACAAACGTTTTGAAAGTTATGAAAGTTAATGAAACTCATATTTCTCAAAAGACAAAAGTGAACTGAATAATTTAATTGACTAACAAACAGCTTCATTGTTTAGATAATCTCAGGCTACAGAGTTTGCAGCAAATAAATGAATGGGCAGGAACAGCAAACCAGTTTCCTTGTAGCCAGGAACACTGACACGGGCTAGGGATCCTGGCACTTGGAAGGTGGGAGGAGAAGATCAGAAGTTTAAGGCTGCCTTGGTGATGTGTCAAGTTAGAGGCCGGTCTGAACGCTGTTCTTTTAAAAAGAATGAATAAATAAGTAGGTGAATTAAGAAATTTTCTTCCCAACATGTGGGTATGATGTTTGTGGGAAGGCATGTTGAAATACTTAAAAAAATAACTTTTTATAAGGAAATCTTTTCTCTTCCTCCTGTGCACAATCCATCCTCATAACTGTCCCTTAGTTACTGTCTTGGCAATGAGTGGGATTCCTCATTTAGCTTTGACTCCTCCTTAATCCCCTCCTCCATCACAAGCAGTCAGCACCGAGTCTAAATCCAGCCTTTGTCACCCCCCCTATTTTTTAAATTATTTTTTTCTCAACCCTTTCCATGGTTAGGCCTCACCTTGGCCGGATTCCTAAGAAAAGAAGATAAAAGAATCATTTCCCCAAATTCTAGACCCAAGAGTAGTGGTTCTCAACCTGTGGGTCATGACCCCTTTGGAGGTCCAATGACCCGTTCATAGGGGTTGCTTAAGACCCTTCTGTGTGTCAAGTATTTACATTATGATTCATAACCCTAGAAAAATTACAGTTATGATGTAGTAGTGACATTAATTTTATGGTTGGGGTTACCACAACATGAGGAACTGTATTAAAGAGTCACAGCAGCAGGAAGGTTGGAAACCACTGCCCTAGAAGGAGTCTGACTTCTTACAGAGTGACACCCATGTCACAGTTGGCTCTCTAGCCAATCAGTGGCAGCTACTGTGGTGGGGCTTAAACTCATGCTGCCATAGCTGCTTATACAAATTTCTTTATGAACCCTTGTGGGATATTTGTGTCCCCACAAAGGAAATATTAAGATTCAGCTTAGAGAGCCCCATGTCTTGGATTGGCAGGTTAAGACAATACCTCCTTGGATTCAGGTTATCGCTTCACAAGTGACTGCACCTGTGTCCCTTTCTATGACGTCTACACTAGGTAGACAGCAGCAATGGCATTTGAACTGTCCTAGGCTGAGACTAGAGGGCTTGGAAGTGCTTCTGATTTACAAGCTGCATTTGTCAGAAAACGTTGGGAACACCCTCCCTCATCGCTTCAAGATGTTTACAAGCTCTTCTCATTTTCAGTACTTCACAGTCTAAGAATAATTCTTGTCTTCCTCATCTCCCAGCCAAGTCCCCAGTACTTTTCTGACTTCAGGTTTCACATCATGGATCCCTCTCCTGGATCAGCCTTGTGTGCGTTAAGGATTATAGAAAGGATAGAGCAGGCGAAGTGAATCATTACAGAGTGCGGAATTTCATGAACTGAAGGACATAAAGTGTTGCAATCTGGGTGGAGCAGGAATGGGGGGTGTGGGTATGCAGAAAAAAATGCTATTGAAGTACTTCAGGGCTCGATTGGGTAAGCAGAGTCCAAGGTTAACCCAGGACTGGTTGGCCTCAGGCTCCTATAGTGGCATCTAGATGGCGGTGTCAGGTCTGCTGGCAAACACTATAAACAGACTCTACCTGGATTGCTGTGTTCACCCAGTGATACTATGCTGGCCATCAGTGGCTAAGTGTGCCAATCTGAGAGAGGGTAAAAGTAATTGCAATAGCCATATTGTTGTGTAAGATGTGTATTTTAAGGGTTGTGTGAATATAGTAAGTACTGACATTATCATACTGTGTTTGGATATGCTTTTTCTGTCTTTTGGTTACATAACATTAAATAGTTGTATATGTATTATATTCATATATTATATATTCATATATAATATACCCATATATATAATTCATATTATATATGAATATAATATATATTCTATTTTTTGAGGCAGGGTTTCTCTGTGTAGCTTTGGAGCATGTCCTGGGACTTGCTCTGTATACTAGGCTGGCCTCGAACTCACAGAGATCCACTTGCCTTTACCTCCTGAGTGCTGAAATTAAAGGTGTACACCACCACCACTCAGCTCATTCTGCTATATTTGAAAGTCTTGTTACTTGAGTCAACATTGGGAAATGACGACTTTCATCAGCGTGTTGGCTATACTTGGTAGGCATTTGAAGTCTTTGACACATTCAGATGTGTTAAGCATAGAATTAATTGTAGCATACATATCTAAGGAAAATTTATTGTTATTTAGCAGAGAAGAATTTAGTCTTTTATGAGTTAATTTAAATATTATCACAAAGCATGAAAATGATACTTCTTATGCTTAGATAATTACTGTATTCTTAAACATGCAAAGGAACAAAGATTTGCAAAGGATTTCAGCAATTGATAGTCTTAGTTTATAGTGTTCATGAATTGAATGCTAATTCCAAGCCTTGTCATGGTAATGCCTTTCTAGGCACAAAGAGTATCAGACTTTTAGAAATAAAATCAAGTTCTAGAGCACCTTTTGTTCTCTGTGGCCTAGAGAAGAAGCTTGTGGCAAAACCTAGTTATGTTAACTCTTGAAGCCTCCCTCCACCACCCAGCTCAACACACTCTCTCTGCTATTCCTGTAGAAGCTTGCCTGTGGTCACCTTTGTTCCTCTTTAAGGCAGTGGTTCTCAACTTGTGGGTCGCGACCCCTTTGGGTCAAACAACCCTTCCACAGGTATCACCTAAGACCATCAGAAAACACAGATATTTACGATATTTAAAGTAGTAAAATTACAGTTATGAAGTAGCAATGAAAATAATTTTATGGTTGGGGGGTCACAACACATAAGGCTCTTCATTAAAGGGTCACAGCATTTGGAAGATTGAGCGCCACTCCTTTAGGGACTGGTGGTGGAGGGCAGATTTACTTTGAGTTTACTATTCCCCGCAGGCTTTCTGAATAATTTTGTTGTGAATATTTTTATTTCTTGTCTAACCATTCTACCCTTTCTATTTGCATTTGAGGGTTTCTCACCTTTTAAGTGTTCCAGACAGCAATTCCATTGTTCAGAACTGGACATGCTTCATGAAAAGGCATCCAGAGGGCCGGGAAGATGGCTCAGGGGCAAGCAGTCGTGATTCCAGAGCCCATGTGGTGAGAAGGGAAGCAAAGGGAGGAAGAATCCCAGAAGCTGGAGGGCCATCCAGACTGAAGTGCCCAGCATTAAAACCAGGGAGAGCCTGCCTCAGCCAAGGTGTGATGTGAGGACAAACACCAGAGGTCATCCTTTGACCTCCACATGTGCACCGTATATATATACATACACATATATATACATGTATATGTATATATATACATGTATATGTATATATATACATATATGCACACACACACACACACACACACACACGTGCACACACTGCACACACATGTCAAAGATTAAAGAACCAGGTGTCCAAAAGTGAGTTAACATCTACTAGGAATGTGTGTCAGGAAACAATCAAAGGGAGGCAGTTGTTTTCTCAGTGGGTGTATTGATCTTTGCCCCTGTCCTTTCCTTGTCTAACTCAACCCTCATTTATTCAAAATTCTCACTGCCTCAGGACTGCTCACAATCATTTATCAGAGACTTACCATTCTGCAGTATTCTGGAGGCTCATCCACTTTGAGCTGTTTCCTGTTTTATCTGTCATGTCTGCACTTCAGCAGAGATGGAAATTCAAGTTGTTTTCAACTTGAATTATGCACAGTTGTTTACTTATTACGCACAATTGTTTATATCCATTTCCTGGCTACATGTGAAAGCACTTTGCTGGGCAGAATTGATGAGTCAACCTAGCAGGCAATGTCTAAGGTCTTACAGACTTCAGCTGTACCCCACTGAAGCAGGCATCCTTATGGACACTGGATACTGCCAAGAATTGGACCGTCTGCTGGGCATGTGGCTCTTAAACAATGTACCACTTTCATTTGCATTTCTCTGCTTACAAATGAGTTGAGTATCTTTCAATATTTATTATTAGTCAGTTTTCTTTCTTTGTGAAATAATTCTATTTTCCTCATTGGGTTATTTATTATTTCTAGTAGCACATATGAAGATGTTTATGTATTATATCTATGTGTTGACTCATAGACATCCCTAATGATTTTGTCATCCTGAACCCTTGCCAGTTTTGTGTATGACAGGTGTCTTGCCCCACTTGATGGCATATTATTTTCATCATTTATTGTATCTGTGTATGTGTGCAGGGCTGTGTATATATGTGTGGTATATAAGTGTTTGTATAGGTGTGTGGGTGCGTGTGGAAGCCAGAGGTTGGGTTTCTCAATTGCTCTCCACCCTGGTTTTTGAGACAGAGTCTCTCTCTGACCTGGATTTCACTAATTTGGCTGGCCAGTGAACCCCAAGAATTCTCCTCTATGCCTTCCCAGTGCCAGGATTATTTTAATTGCTACAGCCTCATGTGAAGCCCTGATAGGGGAAGTCCCTTGACTTCTTTGCTTTCTTCAAGAATATTGTAATGACTTTGCCCTTTCATATGAATTTCAGAATTAGACCAATGTCCAGGAAAAATCATTTTGGGAATAAATGTAATCAGTCTTTGAATCTGCTACACAGGAACTGAGGCTATTGCAAAACTGAACTTTCTGACCTATGAAATTAACATGTTCCTTCATTTGTTTAGCTTTTTTAAAGATTCATGTATATATTTGGGGTGGGCATGCATTTGCCAGGGCACATATGTGGAGGTCAGGGGAGAGCCTTAAGTGTCAGTTGTTACCTTTCACCTTCTTTGAGATGGCCTTTTATTCTTTTCTCCAGGCTAGCTGACTGGTGAGCTTCTGGGGACACCCTTCCCCCCATCTCCACACTCCACTTTGTAGCAGGAGCACTGGGGTGACAGATATGCACCCCTGCATCCAGTTTTTCCTGGGTTCTGGGGATCTGAACCCTGATGTGCAAACATGCACAGGAAAATGCTTTACCCACTGAGTCATCTCCATAGCCCTGTTTTTTTTTAAATACTTTTCATCAACTAAGTTATATTACTGTACTGTCTTGAATGTCATTGGATGATTTTAATGAATCTATTAAGATGATCCAATCCCTTCCTTTCATGTGCTATGTTCATTGCATGAATAGATTTTTCCGAATTCTCACTAATACTAAACTTGCATCTTACCTAAAAAAACAAGTTCACACATAGGACTGTGGTTGACAAGACTCAGTTTGCCAACACTTTGGCTTTGTTTCTATTTTTATGCATTTGTTTTCTAATTTGGGATAAAAACAAAGATAATTTGATAAAAATATACAATTTCCTGTCTGCGAGTTTGGTTAAATCTGAGACTATTCATTTCTGAGTGTGAGGAGTGTGTTCCTCCAGGGCCTCTCAATCTTGTAGGCAGGTTTTAAAATCCCAACTTAATATTTTAACAGTTACCAAATGGTAGTGATGAGGAAGGCCGCTCATTTGTTTCCAGCTGCTCAGACCCAAAATAATCACTCAGAAACTGTATTATTTGCAATACTGTTTGGCCAATAACTTAAGTTTATTTCTGGCTAACTCTTACATCTTAAATAAACCCATTTCTATTATTTTATATTTTACCATGAGGCTTGAGGCCTACCAGCAGGGTTCCAGCTGGCAGCTCCTGTCTTTCCCCTCTGGCAGTTCCATGGCTTCTTTCTGACTCTGCCTTCTTTTTTTCCCCAGCATTCAGTTAGTTTTCCTCCCTAGCCCTACTCTGTCCTATTACAGGCCAAAACAGTTTCTTTATTCTTTAACCAATGAAAGCAATACATAGACAGAAGAACTTATCATACTGCCAAATTGTTCATATTTTGCCATTATTGCCTGAAGCATCTTTTGTTATTTCTGTTTCTGAAGACGTTTTCTATTTCACTCAAAATCTCAAACACAGTTTTATTAATCTACTCACTTTATTATAAACATACTTATAGCTTCTATAGCTATGATTTTACATTTTAGACTTAACATTTGTTGTTTTTAACCTTTGTCCCTTTTCCTCCATCTCTTTTGCAAGACATTTTTCTATTTTTCGGTGTTTATAAAGATACAGTTTTCATATCTTGATTCTCTTTGTAATGTTTATTTTAACTAGCTTCAAAATTTCTGTTCTTGCTATTTTTGCCCCCCCCCTTGGGTTCATTGTGCTGTTTTCCAAATTTAGGCTATGAAGCTGACTGTTGAGTTTAAAAATTTAAAACAATTAATAAAAGCAATATAATGGCATATAAATTCCCTTCTCTGTACTGCTCTCCCCCAATTAGTGTGGAATTTATAGGTTCTCCTTTTAGTTTTTCAGCATTCCTCTAGAAATCTTAGCATGCAGTTTTAATTACAGGTCGAATTTAGCCAAACTGTGCCTTTTTGAAGGCACATCTTATCCATTTGCCTTATGCGCAGTTTCCTCTGGGCCCCCCACATGCTGTCATTACCCAGTATTTCATTGTATCTTAGCTTAACATTTAGTTCCCGCAGCTCTAACAGGCAAGTTGCCCCCCTTTAATTCTCCTGTCCTTTCTTTCTGAGTTCCAAGACTGTCCCCCGACCTACCTTGGCTTTCAGAGCCCTCCAGGGTGTGGGCTTCAGTCTGTCCCTGACTTAGAGGGCGTCAAAACCATCCAAACATTCATATTCAAGAAACTCTCTCTTTTTCTGAGAACTGTTTGCCTCAGACAAATTTCCCCTCTCTAGAGATGATCAAACAGTGGCCACTCTCTTACCCTTTTCCTGTTTTCATACCTGGTGTGCACTGTTTTCTCTCTAATGAAAAAACTCTAGGGGAATTTTCTAGTACCCCTGAAAACCTGCTTTTAAAAACAAAGGTCACGGAATGTTTCCCCTCTTACTAAATTCCAGGAATTTGTGTTGGTTCCCCTTTCCTGTCCCTGAGGCTGAAGTCTAGGGGCTTTATTGGCAAGTTAATTCCTTTGAGAGTCAGAAGGTTTGTAAAATTTGAAAGCAAAGAACCCAGAACAAGAGGGGAAGCTGGCTTGACTTGTCAGAGGGTACATTGTGCATGTCCTGATAAAACCTGTCAGGGAAATCTTTTAAGACAACGCACTCTAATCTGGCAAGCACAACACACACACACACACACATACACACACACACACACACATACACACAATGATTGAAGATATGAGAGAAATATAATCGGTCATTCAAAAGATGAGAAAGTTTGCAACAGCCACTGGAAAATGAAAGTAACTTAATTGTCACCTAAATGCTGCTGGAAGAGGAGAAGTCGTTGGTTCTGACTTGGGGAAAGGGAGGGACTTGACGTACAACAGAGAAACCAATAAATCCTTGCCCAGATTCAAAGGAGTCTTTCTGCGCAGTACATTCCCAGCACGACACATTAGGCTCTTGATTTCAGAATCTCAAAGCTTATTATACACCACATTCATAAAAGAGGTAGTAGAGGAAGGCTGGCCCGTGACTGCATGAAGACAGAGCAAATATCTTCCCTAGTTAAGACAGGACCACAGGACAACTGGGCTCCGGATGTGGAGGCCGAAGAGGGGACAATGACAGATCTTTAGAAGATGTATCCCCCAAACCAAGCTCACTTCTGACTTAGGAACTAGAAGAGGGGTAGTTCCTGTGAGGACAGGGAAAATTTTGTTTGCAAAATCTGTACTCAGGATGATGGTTTTGGTTTTTCAGAATCAGTGAAATGGGTTTTCCTAAGACAGGCAATCACGCCTTGGTTTGATAGTGGGGAAAGCCCTTCCACAAATATGCAAAACCGAGAGCTTCTTTTGTTCTGCTTGAGCGGTCCCTTATGGGTTGTATCCTTGCATCTCATCCTCTGGGCAGGTGTGCTGTTGGGAGACTTTGCTTCATCTCCGACTGTCTTTTTTCTTCTGATGTGATAAACTAAACGTTTGGCCTGAATGTGTGCATGTGCACCTTGTGCATGCCTGCATGTGTGCATGCCTGCATGTGTGCATGTGCACCATGTGCACGCCTGCTGCCCATGGAGGTCAGAAGAGAGCTTTGAATCCCCTGGTACCAGAGTTAAAGATGGTTGTGAGCTACCTTGTGGATGCTGGGACTCGAACCTGGGTCCTCTGGAAGAGCAGTCAATGCTCTTAACTACCGAGCCACCTCTCCAACTCCATCTCTTGAGTGTCTTAAATTTTCACTTTTTCCTTTTTTAGTAATTTTATCTTTTATTATATGTCTATGTGTGTATTTATGTGTCTATGTGTGTATTGCATGTGTATGTCTCTGAGTGTATGTTTATACATGTGATTTAGAGTCCAAGAAGGCCCAAAAAGGGTGCAAGATCCCCTGGGACTGGGCTTGCAGACAGTTGTGAGGCCCCTGAGGTGGGCTGGGAATGGAGCTCTGGTCTTCTGCCCTTGCCCACTGAGCCATCTCTCCGTCAAGTTGTGTTTTCTCTCTGCACAGGACCTGTTTCACTCACCCTTCTGGAAGAATCTGGTTAACACTGGCCATATTTGCAATATTACACATAAAATCTGTCAAATGGGCATTTGGGGTGTGTTTTGTAAACCTTGTTATACTCTATTTAGATTCAGTTTCTCCCCTCCCCATCTCACTGTGTAGCCCAGGCTAGCTTCACATTTCCCATTCACCATATATCCTGGTCTGACTTCAAGCTTCTGATCCTCCTGCCTTGGCTCCCAGGAGTTGATCATACAAATAAGAGCTACGTTCCTGACTTAGCTCTCACTTTTTCCTAAGATTGAAGTCTGTTGTGTTTTTAAGTTTTTCTGTTTCCAACAGAATAGTTTGTGTTTAACTTGTACCATATCCATGTAGGTAATGTTTTGAGAGAAGGCACTTTCCTTGTTTAGAATGAATTCTTCAAACCTGCTGATTTGTGAGGCCATGTTCTTAAATTTTGTACTTAGATATGTTCACTTGAGTTCTTATTTTAAGTTATATTAATATTTTCCCAGTGCAGCTATATAACAAGTATTTTTACGTTTGTTTGATTCTCACAATAGACTCACATATATTTACTGCCAAGGTTTCCGTATTATATATGAAGAACCTCAGCATGGAGCATTTCCTCAAATCACACACTCAGCACGCTGCTCCCAGCCCCAAGCCCTTATGCCCTGGCTCAGTACGCTCTAGCCGAGCTCTGCTGTAATGACTCCACACAGATGAACTGAGAATTTAGCCTGTTTCCCAAGTTTATTCACATGTAGAGGATGCACTGACTTTTACCGACCATAGCGTTATTGTACAAAACCAAACCTGCCAGACGCAAGAGGACTGGAATTGTATATTTCTGCTTTTGTGAGGTGCCTTCAAGAATAGAGCAGTGATCGACAATAGCTAAGAGAAGAGGAGAGTGGGGAGCTGAGTAAGGGGCTCAGAGTTTCAAGCTGGGATGTAGATGCGTGACGGCAACACCTACACCACACACAGATACACGCAATGCCGCTGATTGTGCCCCTAGCAATAGTAAATTTTATCTTGCGCATATTTTCCCACAACTTGAAAAGCACAAGGGGTCTCTTCCATAGGCCAGCAGGGCAGTAACTACAGAACACATTTGTTACAAGGAGTTTTCAGTCCCTGGCAAAGCTGTGTTCAGCAGCTGCAAACACTTCGAAAGCAATGAATGCTTCCAATCAAATCGGAAGGTGAGCTGGGGAGAGCTGCTCAGGACTGGGAGAGTCTGCATTACCCAGATTTAGTCACTCTTACAGGCTGGCTGGAGGCTGTTGGTGGAAAGGAGATGTCAGGGTTGGGACTGGCCTGAAGGCCAGAAGAGCTCTAGATGTTGTCCTTGTCCCAGCACAGGGAGAATGACAATCTTCATGTGTCATATGACAATCATCACATGCAGTTGGTGTGTCCCCCAGGCTGGTCTCTGAGAGTGGTCCTTGTTGTAGGAAGGTTACTTGTTTGTTCCCAGCTGCTCAGCCCCAAAATAACCACACAGAAACTGTATTAATTGCAATACTGTTTGGCCAATAGCTTAAGCGTATTTCTGGCTAACTCATATCCTAAACTATCCTAAACTCCATTAATCTGTGTATTGCTACATGGCTGTGGCTTACCAGGTAAAGTTCTGTCCAGCGTCTGTCTCCAGCAGGGGCTACATGGCTTCTCCTTGACTCTGTCTTTGACTCTGCCTTCTTTCTCCCAGCATTCAGTTTAGTTTTCCCTGCCTAGCTCTATTCTGCTAAGCCACTGGCTGAAACAGCTTCTTTATTCATGCACCAATAAAAGCAACACATATACAGAAGGACTTCCCACACCAGCTCCTCCTGCTCAGGGCTCCAGTTGAGTCAGGAGTGTATGGCTCCAGGCGTGGTCTCCCTTACAGGATTAGCTGCAGCTATTTTATCAGGGACCGTGTTCCCTCTGTGTCACCATTCAGCTCCATCCTCACTGCAGCCTCGTTAGCCCAGTGTCAACACTGTTAACGGTGAGGAGTGCTTCCTCCAATTTCCCCATTAAACTAGGGCCCCCAGTGCCCTCTCATAGCATCTGGGAATCAATTCCTCCCAACTTTTCCCGCTTGTTTTAGGATTGTTGGACTCATTGTCATAGGTGGGGACTGAACCCAAGGCCCTGTGCCTGCTAGGCAAGTGTTCTACCACTGAGCTGCAACTCAGTCCTTCTTTTCTCCCTCCTCTTTCTCTTCCTCCTCCATCACTTCCTCCTTTTTTTTGTAGACAAGAATGACCTTGGAAACTTTTATAATTTAATAAAATTACTTTAAAAAGAAAAAAAAAAGAATGACCTTAAATGTAGTACAGACGGGCATCGTGCACTACCATACCAGTTCATGAACCGGGCCAGGGGCTGGAGATTGAAATACAGAAAGACACACAGACAGAGACACAGGTCATCCTTGAAACAGGAATGCCCCCTTTATTGTGTCCAGGGGCAGCTTATATAGGGATAGCCACGGCCCAGCCAAATGCACCAGAAACCACTCCCCTGCCATCAGGAACTCCTGAGGGTCTTGTGCTCAGAGCAGCTGCAAGCATTACAAGTTGTTTACCAGAAATTCAGGACCTGGAGGTTCACAGCTCACAACACTTAAAGTCATCCTCCTGTCTCCACCTCTCCAGGCACATACTGCCACACTTGCTATTACCTTCACTACCAGTCAGTAAACGCCGCCACTGTTGCACTCCTACAAATGACTCCAGCAGCAGCGACAGAACACTTCCTGTCCCTGGGCACTGAGCACACACAGGTGGGATGAAGGAAGGAGTTACATAGCTCAGTCAAGGTCACACTGCTCATGAGTGAAAGTTGAACAGTAGTCTTAACAAAATCCGATCACAGATATCTTCCTTGTTTTATATTTTTAAATGGTATATGAACACACACATACACACACATATATACAAATGCTCTCTTTTACACACACACACACACACACATATACATACTCTCTCTTTTACACACACACACATACATACTCTCTCTTTTACACACACACATACACACACACACATACATACTCTCTCTTTTACACACACACATACACACACACACACGTTTTAAACATGGGGCAAAGGGAGCCCTGAATTTCCCTTAGTGAAAGCAAGTTGGGGACACTATCTTCAATGACAGGCAGATAACAGGTAGGACCAGTGCCAGAGGCTGGGCACATGGATGGCAGCAGAGGCCTCCAGGGTGGCAGTCCTCTCTTCCAAACCTGAGATCT